CCTGTTCCTACATAAAAAAAAAAAAAAAAAAAATTAACCAGGCATGGTGGCATGCATGTAGTCCTAGCTATTCAAGAGGCTGAGATGAGAGGATCACTTGAGCCCAAAAGTTTTAGCTTACAATGAACTCTGATGGTGCCGCTGCATTCCAGCCTGGGTGACAGAGTGAGACCCCACCTCTAAAAAAGAAGAAGAAAAGAAAACAAAAGAGGGAAAGATTTGCTCTACTAAGTTTTAAAACATACTCAAAGCTGTGGGGTAAAAAATCTGTAGCACTGTTGCAAGAACAGAAAAATAGACCAATGAAAAAGGACCAGAGGACCAGAGCTCCAAGGCAGGCTGATGTATAAATGGCAGCATAAATATAGCACTACAAATTGATGGCAAAAATATAAGAGTACTTACTAAATGAATTGGAGAAACAGTATTAATACATAGAGAAAGATAAAACCGTATCACTACTTAACACCATATACAAAAGTAGACTTTAGATATACCTATGTGTAAAAGATGAAACTATAAAGTTACTAGGAAAAATGCACAATACCCAAATACCTTGGATCTAGGAACAGGGAAAGACATTTTAAAGTTAATAATAGAGTGTGAGAAAATAAGTGCAATGTCTAAAATGAACAAGAACTTATGTAGAATGTACAGGGGACTCCCATAATTCAATAAGAACAAGAAGCCTTAATAGAAAGGCAGATGAAGAATAAGAACAGGCAAGATACATAAGAGGAAACCCCACAAGCATCCAACCATGAAGAGATGAAGAAAACTTCAGTAATAAAAGAAATGAAAAGTAAAATATTGTTTTAAGTCTGTAAGATTGACAAAAACTGGAAAGCTAGAAAATGCCAAGTGTTGGTAGTGATATAGGGACATAGGAATCCTCATCCACTATACCTAAGGTATATAGACAGGTAGGGCCACTTAGAAGGCAATCTGGCAATACATACGCCAATAAAGTCAAAGTGAGAACCAAATCAACGACTCAATTTCCTTAAAAATAGCAACAAAGAAAATAAAGTACCTTGGAATATATTTAACTAAGGAGGTAAAAGTTCTCTCTACAGGGAGAACTAAGAAACACTGAAGAAAGAAATAGCAGAGGACGTAAACAGGTGGAAGATCATACCATGCTGGTGGGTCGGCAGAAGCAACATTGTTAAAATGCCTATACTATCCAAAGTGACCTACGGAGTCAATGCAATCCCTATTAAAATACCGTCATCATTTTTCACAGATATACAAAAAATAATTTTATGCTTCGTATGGAACCAGAGAAGACCCCATACAGCAAAAGCAATCCTAGGCAATAAAAACAAAATGGGAAGTATCAATTTACCAGACTTCAAACTATATACTACAAAGCTATAGTAATTAAAACAGCTTGGGACTGGCACAAGAACAGGGACATTGACCAGTAGAACAGAACTGAGAACCCAGCTATAAAACCATCCTCATATAGCCATCTAATCTTTGAAAAAGCAGACAAAAACATACACTGGGGAAAAGAATACTTATTCAATAAATGGTGCTGGGAAAACTGGATAGCCACATGTAGAAGACTGAAACAGGACCCATACCTTTCACCTCTCACAAAAATCAACTCACACTGGGTAACAGACTTAAACCAAAGGTGTGAAACTATTAGAATTCTAGATGAAAACATTGGAAATATGCTTCTAGACATTGGCCTAGGCAAAGAATTTATGAATAAGAACCCAAAGGCAATCACAGCAGCAACAAAAATAAATAAATGGGACCTGACCAAATTAGAAAGCTTCTGCACAGCCAAAGAAACTGTCATGAGAGCAAACAGACAACCTACAGTGTCGCGCCCGCCTCGCCAGCAAGGAAGACACGGCAACCGGAGTTCTTCTGACAGCGCTTTAATGGGGATTGCTTAACTGGTTACATGCGGAGAACGCCGAGGCGTTCTCGGCGGCTGCTTATAAAGGCAGTAAGTACACTGGGCATTGTCTGATTGGATAAGGCACTTGGAAGGGAGGAGACAAACTCTGCACATGCGCTGAGCACTTGTTTGTCAGACTAACAGCAGGGTTTGACCAGGAAGCGGGCGCCATCTTGGAATGGCGTTGCCACCGCGCCCCACACTACAGAATGGGAGAAAATTTTCACATCCTACACATCTGATAAAGGGCTGATAACTAGAATCTATTTAGAAATCAGGAAAATCAGCAAGGAAAAATCAAACAACCCTATCAAAAGATGGCAAAGGACATGAACAGAAACTTTCCAAAAGAAGACAGAATAATGGCCAACAAACACATGAAAAAATGCTCAACATCTCTAATCATCAGGGAAATGCAAATCAAAACCACAATGAGATATCACTAATCTCCAGTGACAATGGCCTTTATTAACAAGTCCCAAAACAATAAATAAATGTTGGCATGGATATGGAGAGATGGGGACACTTCTACATTGCTGGTGGGACTGCAAACTAGTTCAACCTCTGTGGAAAGCAATATGGAGATACCTTAAAGCGATACAAGTGGATCTACCATTTGATCCAGAAATCCCATTACTGGGCATCTACCCAAAGGAACAAAAGACACTCTATAAAAAAGACATTTGCAGTTGAATGTTTATAGCAGTGCAATTCACTATTTCAAAGATGTGGAAACAACCCAATTGCCCATCAATACATGAGTGGATTAATAAAATGTGGTATATGTATACTATGGAGTACTATTCAGCTGTAAGAAACAGTGGTGATATAGCACGTGTTGTATTTTCCTGCATAGAGCTGGAACCCATTCTACTAAGTGAAGTATCCCAAGAATGGAAAAATAAGCACCATATGTACTCACCAGCAAATTGGTTTCACTGATCAACACCCAAGTGGACATATAGGATTAACATTTATCAGGTGTAGAGCAGGTGGGAGGGGGGAGGGGGGACAAGGGCAATATACGTAACCTTAACATTTGTACCCCTATAATATGCTGAAATAAAAAAATAAATAAAAGTAAAAAATGTATACCCTATGTCTTAGCAATTCTATTCCTGAAAATGAGCCCAAAGAAAATTTCATATAGGTCTATTAGAGGACATGTAAGGACATGTAAGGATATGTCCATAATTTTGAGAATAGACAGATCAATATGGTGAAATGGTCAGAAGCAACAGGTTATAAGTACATATAGTAACACTGATGGCTAAAAAAAATATGACATTGAAAAAAGTAAGAAACAGAATGATATACTGAAGATATCACTATTTCAGAAACTAAAAATTCATGCATAAAAACCATCATGTTTTGAACAACACATAGAAATACAAATATCATGTTAATCATGTTAGAATGCTTACATATGATGAGGGAATGCTTGCCTATGACAGGGGAGTGGAAAAGGGGGCTAAATAAATAAATAAGATAGCTTTTGTATGGACCAATGATTATAAGTCATCATCAAGGAGCATGTGATGAACTCAATTCTATACACCTGAGGTTAAAAACCAGAAACAAACTAAAGCCACCTTTCCTTTTCAGAAACATGGAAAATAATCTTAGATATTTAAAAGTTGTTCTATGAATGTTGGTCTCTTTAACTCATCTGCACTCATAGTTGAACTCATGGTTCTAACATGTATACCACCTCTATATCTGTAGGTGTTATGATTTTCACTTAAAAAGGGAAGAAAGGTGAGATGCCGGAGATCACACCCAACATAAAATCCCCAGCCCAATGCTCTTCTCATTTCAGATATTCTCATGTTCACATCCAGGAGTCGTTAGCCCAAAGTCACTGTGACAAATTATGTAGGCAAACTGCATATGGCTAAAAGGGATAACACAAAAATGTTATCACTTTTTTCCCTGGAGACATTTAAGAACAGAATATCCATTTCTCTACTGAGGCTGTGGTGCTTTTGTTCACACAGTCATCCTTCACATAATGATATTTCAGTCAATGACAGACTGCATATACGAGGGTGGCTGGAGGAGACAGCCTAGGTGTGTAGCGGGATATACTATCTAGGTTTGTGTAAGCACACTATGATGTTCACACAACAATGAAATCGCCTAATGAGGCATTTCTCTCAGACCATATCCCCATCGTTAAGTGACATGACCATAACTCTAAATGAGTTCTAATAAGACTATCATAAATGTCAAAGATGTTCTCTTTATTACATATTCTTGCAAAGTATAAATAGTTTCTTCACATTTATAAGAAAAGCATCATAACAGATAAAGTAGCAAAAGAAGATGGACAGATAATTCACACAAATAAAAAGTGAAGAGTTCAATTTCACTAGTAATGACAGAAATGTTAACTTTAAATGACATAAAGCCACTAGTTTATACTAATTAAATTTTCAAAATGCCCAATGCTGGCATGGTTGTGATAAAATTCATATGCTTATAAACTGATTGTAATGCTATATCCCTTTCAGAAAGCAATATGGAAAAACTATCAAAACCATATAAGTATGATCCAGTATCCTTTGATCCACTATCCCCACTTTTAGAAATTTATTCTGAGGAAATAACTCAGAAAATCTAATTTATGCATATGAGGATATTCCTGAGATTCTACCAATGATAGAAAATTAGAAGTATCTAAATGTCTGATAATAGGGGAAAGACTAGATAAAAAACAGTATTAAAATGCACTAATGAGATAAATAAGTGAATAGGTTGGTACCTTTAACATACCAACTATCCAAGAAAAAATCAGCTGAATCTGAAAAAATGGTACTGTTTAAAATTCTGAGAGAAGAGGAAAAAATGGCAGATTAGTAGTAGCCCCCTAGCTCACTGCTTTGAGAGAAGGTGAAGAAGTCAGATGGCTACACATGAGGGGATCACTTCCCTCGCCCAGAACAGCATTCTGAATCTGCAGAGAAACAGTATGGGATAGGTAGAGCAAGAAAAAAAAAAAGGTGAAAGGGGGATACATTCACAAAGACTGGAGAGTGTGAGATACACAACAGGGAATAGAGCGTGGGAGGGTCATACCCACCGGGCCAGCTAGCGCAATGCAATCTGACCCACAGGAGGACGTCCGGCTCCCCCACAGACCTCCACACCCACTCAGACAGGGACGCAGCTGAAGTTGATGAAAAGTCATGGCATGGGATGACAGGCTCTGTGGAAAGGAGACAATGGCAGGAAACATTTTGAACTCTCCATTACTCTGTGCTGGGACCGCACTGGGCAGAGGAGGGACTTCTCTGAGTGGTTACTTCCAGCAACCAGTGGGAGGGAGTTTGGAGACAGACAACTGACCTCTGGTGGTCAGTGGGACCAGAGCACAGGAGGTGAAGGCTGAAAAGGGGTCTCTGCCCTTGCAAACTTCTGACAATTTGGCCAATTCAGAGCAGGACAAAAAGAGGAGGATCCTCTGCTAAGCAGATGTGAGATTGTGGGACTGAGATGCAGAAGTGACAGTAGGTGGCCTGTTGATTCCACACACCAGACCGATATTTGCCAACTCCTAAGGGGTCGCCCCAACACTAGCTTTCCAAGGGTGGGCAGCTGCCATTTTGGGGATCCCCAGCCCAGAGACGCTGCTGGTGCACTGGCAATTTCAGGCAACACCTCTCCCACACAGTGGGCTCTGCCCTTGGGAATGGAGAGAAGTAGAAAAGCCACTTTCTCAGTGCAGCTCAGGTGAATCTCTGGGACTTTGCCCATTGAGTCAGCCTGCTGGACTGGCATCTGCCAACTCCTAAGGGGTGGTCCCAACACTAGCTCTAGAGGGGCAGGCAGCCACCATTTTGGGGCTCCCAGCCCAGAGATGCTACAGCATATGGTGGTTTCTGGCAACACCTCTCACCCAGCCCAGGTACATTCGTGTCAGGCACAGAGGGCTCGACATTTGGAGGTGGGGAAAAGCGAGAAAAGCCACTTTCTCTATGGAACTAGAATGAATCTGCAGGGCTTTGATACTAAAAAAACAGTTGGCATTCACTTGGTTTGGCCCAGCAGACCAGCTTAGGTCATCTAATAAGAACATAATTCTAGGGTTTGCTCTCTGGGTTAGCCACTGCCAGCACTGGGGTTTGTGGATAAGGAAGGAAAAACCTGACCTCAGCAATTGCACCAATTGACCCCTCCCATCAGGAGCAGCCTCTAAAGTATGGTGAAAGAGACCTGACCAACATATTAACAGCTCCCCCTAGCAGCAGACCAAGCAACCACAGAAGCACACCCATTCAGGCTCATACACACTGCTGTGATCTATCTTGCTCTTATTCCCACCTCAAGGGGGAACAGAGTCCAAGTAACCTTCAGGAGTGGCAAGTCCCCTCCCAAAGATCAGGACATTAATATATCTCATCAAGGTTACCAGAGCCTACCACAGAGACATCATCAGATTACCTCAATAACTGGCTCCTCCACAGAAACTACAATCAACGACAGAGAGGGTAGCCCCATAGTTTAAACACAGTGCTGTCCATCTCAAGCTATTAGAGGGCAGTGGAGTCATACACACAAGTGTGATCCACCAACTGGGAGCTTAAGCTGGGGGAACAAACTCACTACTCTCCATTGGCAAGAGGTGAAGACAATAGATTAGAGGTAACACAACTTGCTAAAATACCCCTAAGGCAATAAAGGACCAGTGTGTCACTCCCTAGCGCTGTCAAGGAACAACCCATAGGCATGTGGAAATATGGCCATAAACAATCCTTAGCACCCCCAGTTCTCAACCAAGTAGCCCAATGAGAAGAAATCAGCGAAAGAATGCAGGAAACATGAAAGATCAGAGAGAAAATTCACCCTCAAAAGAAATAATTAGATCCTCAACAATGGATACCAACATAAATGAAATGATTAAAAGGACAGAGGAAGAATTCCAAATATAGTTTGTAAGAAAACTCAATGTAATTGAAGAAAAAATGGAAACCTAACACAAAGAACACACAAGAACAATACTTGAAATGAATGAAAAATTCACTAAAGAAATGAAAGTGTTATGAAAAAAACAAACAGAAACACTGTAAATGAAAGAGGCATTCAAGGAACCACAAAACACAGTGGAAAGTCTTAAGAATAGGGTGGATCATGCAGAGGAAACAATCTCAGAGCTTGAAGATAATGCCTATGTGCTAAATAAATCATATGAAGAAAAAGAACACAGAAGCAAGAGACATGAACAAAAATTACAAGAAATGTGGATTCATATAAAGACACCAAACATAAGAATTGTAGGCATCCAAGAGAGAGAAGATAATACACAAGGGTTCGAAAATCTATTTCTTGGAATAATGGAGGAAAATATACCTAGCCAGGCAAAAAACCTAGATACCCAGGTACAAGATGCACACAGAACTCCTGAGGAGACTCAAAGTGAAAAGCCAATGACCGCATAACACAGTTATTAGGCTGGCCAAAGTAAATATGAAAGAGGCAATCTTTAGATCAGTAAGGCGAAAACAGCAGATACCATAAAAGGAAAACCTATCAGACTAACTAAAGACTACTCAACTGAAACTTTATAAGCCAGAAGGAACTGGGGACCCATCCTAACCTTCTAAAACAGAATGATGGCCAACCTAGAATTCTTTACATGGAAAAACTAAGCTTCATTTATGAGGGAGAAATATAGAATTTCCCAGAAAAGCAATCATTGATGGAGTTTGTGAAGACCAGACCTACTCTGCATAAAGTATGCAGAACTGCTTTATACAGTGAACATCACAATAGACATCCAGCAAAGTAAAATCATTCATGAGTAAAAGTCCAAAACCCTGATTCCATAATGGTTTGAGAAGTAAAACAAAACAATAAAAATTTATCTAACAATATATAAAGAAATCTACCATAATTCAATTCTCTTAATAAATGGGAATGGCTTGAATTATCCACTAAAGAGGCATAGACTGGCTAAGTGGATAAAAAAAGAAGCCAAGTATCTGCTGTCTCCAGGAAACATATCTTACCCACAATGACGCTTTCAGACACATGGTCAAGGGTTGGAAAACAAACTTCCATGCACATAGAAACCAAAAGAAAGCTTGGGTAGCTTAGTCATTGATGCTCCCGCTCTGCTGTTCCCATCTCATTGGGGCAACGAGAGTCTGCCGCAGCATTCTGACTTGGCATACCCCTGAGCTTTCGCTCCGCTGCTCTCCCAGGCCTCTTCTGCTGTCACAGGAGGTATGGCTCTTGCCAAGTTTTCACATTGATGTTTCCTGGCTAGTTCCTCTTTCTGAGTGGCCACATCATAACATAGGCATTTTCACCAAGGTCGCAGGAAGAGGACTGAAGAGCGAGGACTGAAGAGCGATTGCCAAGCGACGAGCTAGTTTGGATCAAGTTCACTCTGACAAGTCTTAGGCCACGGTGGGGTATTTTGGTTTGGCTTGGTTTATTTTTTCTTTCTTTCTTTGTTTTTTTTTTTTTTTTTGCTTTTCTCTTTCTCCTCAAACTGTGTGATATAGTTTTAAACAGAATTTTATTTTTAAAATAAAAGTTCTTTATAAGATGATACCTTAATTACACTCCTGCAATATAGCCATTATTGTGTAGTTCCATTATCTGTATTTTATGTAATGAAATCGACAGGATGGCTGCTGCAGAATACTGGTTGACAAGGGGAATACAGACTGCTATTTTTCCCTGGAATTTTCCCTCTGAATTCCAGCTATGGCCCTTTTACATGTGCCTTCACTTTAGCTGTTTGCCTTAATCTCTACAGTCTTGCTTTCCAGGGTGGTTAATAAAATGCAACACTTGGCATTTTTTATGTTTTAAGAAAAACAGTATTTTATTTATAATAAAATGTGACTATTTGTAACTCTTTAAAAAAAAGAACAAAAGTAAAGAAAGACAAAGATGGTCATTATAAAATGGTGGAGGAGAAAATGCAACAAGAAAACTTAGCAATTTTTAATATATATGCACACAACACAGGAGCACCCAGATACATAAAGCAAACCCTGTTTGATCTAAATAACAGTAATGCCATACTAGCTGTGGATTTCAACACCACACTGATGAAACGGGACAGATTCTCCACATAGAAAATAAGCAAAGAAACAATGGACTTAAACAGAGCTCTAGAACCAATGGGTCTTACAGACATCTACAGAACATTTCACCCAAATAAAGATGAATATACATTCTACTCATCAGCTAATGTAACTTTCTATAAAGTCGATCACATTCTAGACTAGAAATCAGACATCAACAAAATTAAAAAAACCGAAATTATACCATGTGTCTTCTCAGACCTCATTGGTATAAAATTAGAGATCAATTCCAGCAGAAGCACTCACCACTTTACAATATCATGGAAATTCAACAATCTATTGCTGAATGACTACTAGGTCAAGAAGGAGATCCAGAAATTAAAAAATTCTTTGAAGTAAATGATCACAGGGGCACAAGTTATCAAAATCTATGAGATAAAGCAAAAGCATTCTTGAGAGGAAATCTAATAGCATTATTTTTTTTAAATTTTTTATTTCATCATATTACAAGAGTACAAATGTTTAGGTTATGAATATCGCCTTTGCCCCACCCAAGTCAGAACTTCAAGCATGTCCATCCTCCAGACAGTGTGCACTGCACCCATTAGGTGTGAATATACACATACCCTCCTCCCCCCTCCCATATGCTCAACACCTCATGAATGTTTTTACTATATGTGCACTTAAGTGTTGATCAGTTAAAACCAATTTGACGGTGAGTACATATAGTGCTGGTTTTTCCATTCTCGTGATACTTCACTTAGTAGAATGGGTTCAAACTCTATCCAGGATAATACAAGAGGTGCTAGATCACCATTGTTTTTTGTGGTTGAGTAGTATACCATGGTATGGGTGTGTATGTGTGTATACACACACACACATATATATATACACAACATTTTATTAATCTACTCATGTATTGATGAGCACATAGGTTGTTTCCACATTTTTGCAATTGTTAATTCTGCTGCTATAAACATTCTGGTACAGATGTCTTTTTAATTATTTTTTTATTTCAGCATATTATGGGGGTGCAAATGTTTCAGTTACATATAATGCCTTTGCCTCACCCCAAGCCAGAGATTCAAGAATGTCCATCCCCTAGATGGTGTGCATCACACTCATTGTATATGTATATACCCATCACCTCCTCCCCCACCATCTGCCCGATGCCCCATAAATGTTATTCCTATATGTCCACTTAGGTGTTGATCAATGAAACCAATTTGCTGGTGAGTATACTGTGGTGGTTATTTTTCCATTCCTGGGATACTTCACTTAGTAGAATGGATTCCAGCTCTATCCAGGATAATGCAAGAGGTGCTATATCACCATTGTTTCTTGTAGCTGAATAGTACTCCATGGTATACATATACCACATTTTATTAATCCACTCATATATTGATGGGCACTTGGGTTGTTTGGGTTGTTTCCACATCTTTGCAATTGTGAATTGTGCTGCTATAAACATTTGAGTCCAGATGTCTTTTTATAGAATGTATTCTGTTCTTTTGGGTAGATGCCTGGTAATGGGATTGCTGGATTAAATGGTAGTTCTACTTACAGATCTCTGAGGTATCTTCATATTAACTTCCACAGAGGTTGTACTAGTTTGCAGTCCCAACACCAGTATCAGAGTTCCTATCTCTCTGCATCAACTGCAACATTTATTGTTTTGGGACTTTTGACAAAGGCCATTCTCACTGGTGATAAGTGATATCTCATTGTGGCTTTGAATTTCCCTGATGTGTTAAGCATTTTTTGATATGTTTGTTGGCAACTACTCTATCTTCTTTTGAAAAGTTTCTGTTCATGTCCTTGCCCATATTTGATAGGGATGTTTGATTTTTTTTTCTTGTTGATTTTCTTGAGTTCTATATAGATTCTAGTTATCAGCCCTTTATTGGATAAGTAACGTGAATATTTTCTCCCATTGTGTGATTTGTTTACTCTCGTGAGAGTTTGCTTGGCTGTTCAGAATCTTTTAAATTTGATCAGGTCCCATTTATTTATTTTTGTTGTTGCTGTGATTGTCTTTGAGTCTTCTTCATAAGTTCTTTGCCTATGCCAATGTCTTTAAGATTTTTTCCAACATTTGCTTCTAGAATTTTTATACCTTCATGACCTAGGTTTAAGTCTGTTATCCTTAGTTGATTTTTGTGAGACGTGATGGGGACAGGTCCTGTTGCAGTCTTCTACATGTGGCTATCCAGTTTTCCCAGCACATTCATTGAATAAGTATTCTTTTCCCCAGTGTATGTTTTTGTCTGCTTTGTCAAAGATTAGATGGCTATATGGGGATGGTTTTATATCTGAGTTCTCAGTTCTGTTCCATTGGTCTATGTCTCTGTTCTTCTGCCAGTACCATGCTGTTTTAGTTACTATATCCTTGTAGTATAACTTCAAGTCTGATAAATTGATGCTTCTCAATTTCTTCTTTTTGTTTAAGATAGCTTTTGCTATACAGTCTTCCCTGGTTCCATATGAAGTGTAGAATTGCTTTTCTATGTCTGTGAAAACTGATGTTAGTATTTGAATGGAGATTGCTTTGAATCTGTAGATCATTCTGGGTAGTACAGACCTTTGAACAATGTTGATTCTGCCAACCCATGAGAATGCTATGGTTTTCCACCTGATAACCTCCTCTGGTATTTCCTTTGTCGGTGTTTTATAGTGGTCCTGATAGAGGTCTTTTACCTCCTTAGTTAATATACCCCTAGGTATTTCATTTTCTTTCTTGCTACTGTGAAGGGTACTGAGTCTTTGATTTTGGTTTGCAGTTTGACTGTTGTTCATGTAGAGCAGGGGTCCTCAAACTTTTTAAACAGGGGCCAGTTCTCTGTTCCTCAGACCACTGGAGGGCCAGACTATAGTTTAAAAAAAAATATGAACAAATTCCTATGCACACTGCACATATCTTATTTTGAAGTAAAAAACCAATGGGCAAAAACACCCGCATGTGGCCCGCGGGCTGTAGTTTGAGGACTCCTGGTGTAGAGGAATGCTACTG